CGCCAGCGCCTGCACGCCAGAGTATCATCCACGTGCAGGCGGCGGGCGCGCGGGGAGAAGAATCGTGCGCGCCGGCCGTGGGCGTGCTGCGCCCTTGCGCCACGTACCCGCAGCAGAACCGCTCGCTGTCATCGCAGAGTTACAGCCCGGCGCGTGCCGTCGCCCTGCGCACCGTTAACACGGTAGAGTCGCTGGCGCGCGCCGTGCCTGGGCCCCTTCCCAGCGCTACAGCCGCGGGCGCGGAGCACAAGTCGCAAACTTATACCAACGGCTTCGGCGCCGTGCGCGACGGCTTGGAGTTCGCCGACGCTGACGCAGCAGCCGCCTGGTCGAACGGTGAGGGCGGCCGCAGCGGGCCAGGCCCGGCACAGCGGCGCTGCCAGCGGGAAAACTGCGCTTTCTATGGTCGCGCCGAGACTGAGCACTACTGCTCATACTGCTATCGCGAGGAGTTGAGGCGGCGGCGCGAGGCGCGCGGGCCCCGTCCATGAGCGCGCTGGCTTCGGGCTCTTACCATACCGGATTCCTTTTCCATTCTGTCGGTATCTTTTTTACATACCCTGGTCAACCGGAAGGCCGTTGACTTCTTTGTCAGTGCTGTGTAAGTGTTTGGTCAAACGTTCCTAATGGTGCCTGAACCTACACTGACGCCACTCAGGTAGTAGACGGATAGGAAACAAGTCATACTGTTGGAAGTGGGACGTGCTAGCCCAGCCTCTGCCTCGTACCTGTGGAAACTCAATAGCCATTGCCAGAGTATTTTTGTTCCTCAATAAGAAAAATAAAGAAATTTGCAGCCCTTTGTTTTTAGAAGAGGGTGTTTTACATGCTTTTTGTTTTGCTTTGTTTTTCCTAACCTAGCGACTGAATTGGTCATTTGTGTGCAGTTAGTATCATCCAGGGTTTAGAAACCAACGCCAGGGACTGTGGCATGCGACCTCTCTTTCCCTTTTGACTCCTTTGAGGAGAGGAGGCCATTAGCTGCCCTCTGAAGCTGTGGCGGTTCCTGTGCCCTCCATCTCATAAGCCAAACCTCCTCCCACAGCCATCCAGCTAAGCAACATTCACACTGCCATCAAAACTGTGGGCCTCGTAGAATGGGTACCTCTACTGTACAACCTACCTCGCAGGGCGTGGTGAGGTGTGGTGATCTTTTGGTGCCGGGGAGCTCTGATGATAGGAGCTTCCCAAAGGCACCTTAGATTCTAAAAGCAAGGTTCTTAACTAGCAATTTGGAGTTTCCCATAGACGAGCAAATATTACAGCCTGCCCACATTTCTCCTTTGAAGACATTGCCACAGTGAACTGTTGCTAGAGGGCCCCTAGAAAGAGCTCGGTGCCCAAGGAGAGAGGCAAGTAACGGACCCTTTGGTCACTGTGTCAGTCCCCACTAAGCTGCTTGGAAACCCCCCTACCCTTCTTTCCAAAGGGAAGGGGTTGAGGGAAGATGGAGAAGGAAAGCACCCCTGCCCCCACTCCACCCTCAGTCTTCCTGGGTTAGCCAGGTGAAGGGGTACCACTCAAAATGTGCCACCCTCCACAGACAGGGAGAAGAACCCCGCCTGTGACTCCATCGAAGGAACAGCTTGATTGCTGAGCGGTCCCCTTTTTGGTGCCTCCTATATTTCTTGAGGAAAAGAAAAAAAAAAAAAATGTGTCCTTAGCTACCCTGTTTTGAGCAGCAATATGCAGCCTCTGCCTCCTAAGATTACCTCTGGAGAATCCCGTTCTTGGCCAAGGACACTGAGGAGCTAAAACCTGCCTCCCTAAGGAAAAATCTTGTTTCCAAGAAATATGGATAAGATGGGTAAAATCCTCATTAACAAGAGTACTTAAAAACCTGTGAGAGCCTTAGCATAGCCTTTAATAATTCTAAGAAAGAAAGGAGAAAGCAGCCAGCTTTGCTGCAAGTGTATCCTCAGAAAGTACAGGAGGTAGATCATCTGATAATCAGAGCCAGCTTCTCCTCCAGAAAGGATGCTTTCCCTCTAACATAAAGAACAGCAACAGCAAAAAAAAAAAAAAAAAAAAAAAAAAAATGGGGAGGGAATTTTTTTTACTTGTTTAAAGAACTATAATAAAATGAGTATTTCCTGTAATCTTTTTTTTTTAACTATTCCACAGCATGTGGAGTTTTCAGTAATTTATTCAAGTTTTGCATAAGTGGTTCCTTAAAATTATTTATTAAATAGAGTCTTTAAGAAAGTTTTTGAAAGTTTTACTTTTCACGCTGAATAATATTTTCAATGTCTGATAATTACTAACATTCATGTCCCTAGTATAACGGGGGTTTCTTTTCTTACTCAGAAAAAAAAATAAAATACTTTAAAAAAAAAAAAAAGAAAAATCTCTCATCAGGAGGGTTTGTGGCAGCTCTTTGGACTGATGCTTCATGTCATGCTGAGCAACTGCTTTGCCACTCAAAGCTGTGGGGTCACAGAAAGTATTGCTTCAAGTGTAGACACCGGCTTCTCTTCATTCTCTTCATTCACACTTAGAAGTTGAGACATCAGTATTAAAAGGCTTAAGTGTACACTCAGAAACCAAAGTCACACGCACAAGAAGTCAAGGAAGCAGAAAGCCAAGGCCTGTTTGTTTTAAAATTTTCTAGTGCTAAAAGAGCAACTAGAAATTTTCAAAACTGGCTATGCAAATATTTTATCTTTCTCATGCTTCCTGCCAGCTTTAAAAAGAAGAGAGAGAAAAAAAAAAGAGCAAACCAAGAATAAAACTGTCTATCGCAATGGAGGAAAGCCTTCCAAAAGAAGCAGAGTAATACGTAGTATTATCAAAAAGTAGTGACCTGAATTTCAGAGTCACCTCTTCACACCCACTCCCTCTGAAAGCAGATACGTCATGAACAAGAGCTTGAGCACAGCCCCTGGGCACATCGTGGGTCCCTTTTACCCGGTGAGGGGGCCCTAATAACTCAGGTCAGTCAGGAGGCAGGCTGGACTCACATGAGCCTGGAAGTGCCTGCTCCAGGCTGACACATTAGGACCTGGTCCACAGTTAAAAATGGCTGTTCTGTTTTGTGAGTGTTGTGGATCCATCCTCCCTCCAAACAGTATTTTTTTTTACAAGTTGAGGAGCCTATTGTTATACTGAATTACTAGTCCTTGGCATCAACAACATACTCTGCATTGTTCAGAAGAGCTTTTTAGACCTCACCTCTGGCCAGAGACCTCATAGATCAAATTAGTTGATCAGGTTGGACAGGAACTGTCCAAAACTGCTGTGTTGTTGACATATGGGCCAAAACCAATAGAATCAACTCAATTGCCATCAAAATTTTGGCTCATGGTGGTCCCATGTATATCCAAGTAGAACTGTGCTTCATGAGATTTTCGATGGCTGTGACCTTTCAGAATCAGATTGCCAAGCTTTTCTCTGAGGCGACTTTGAGTAGTAGATTTGAACCACCAACCTTTCAGTTAGCACTTAATCATTTGCACCACCCAGGGACTCTTTAGTGTTCTATGACTTGGAGCCCTTTGTGGAGCAGGCAAGGAAAAGGGATTGTAGACAACAGGAAAGGGAGAGAGTGAGTCCTGATTCCAGAAAGGCAGCCAACCCCACCAAGGCAGCATCCCTGCTGCCATCAGAGGCCCAGATCCCAAAACATGCAGCCAGACTTCCCTTTCTGGAAATGACAGATGTCTCTAAGCAGCAGCAAGTTTCCAGAAGGATCTAAGATTTTTCTAAATCTCAGTAGAGGTTATTTCAGTAATTTACTTCACACATTTCCTGTGCATGTGTTACCTGAGAATATGATTTTTAAAAATAGTATATTGCTAAAAGAAGGCATTTTAAAGTATATTATTCCATTTGTAGATTTTATGCTGTTATGTTAATATTTTACAAGTCAACTTTGAACTGTACTATAGAAATTATTTTTGTATTATTTTCAGAATATGCCACAGAGCAATATTTTGCACCCTTATTGTCACAGGGTGTCCTTGGAAGGGTAGTGTTAGAGTGGAAAGAGATCCATTGTGGGTTCTCAGGTTTAAATGCTTTTTGCGGTTTGTTCAAATTCCTTCAGAAAGTGGAAATGCATAAATGTCTTTTCTTTTTTAATTGAAAGTTTGGTATTTTGTTCTTTTTGTTTTATTTTGTTTTTTCCCCCCTCTGTTCATGGATTTTGGTATTACACCTTCCTCCTTAAATGAATAACTTTATATTCACAAAGTTACTGTGGATTTTTGTTATGTATTACCACCCAATGAGCTCAAGTGGTTTTCCAGAGAGTTTGAATCAATTACTTTACAAATGTAATGTTTTCCCAAATGATTTAATTTATTAATTCCATTAACTTACTGTCAGGAATTTGGTGACTGAAGACAAAAGGATTCTTGTGCCCCTAGACTTGCACATCCCTGGGGGAGAGGCTATGGGTGCATCTCTCTCCCTTCTGCCTGTTTAGCATCCACAAGCTTGTTTTGCAAACTACTCTTTTATAGAAATATAATTCACATAGTAAGGAAAAAGGGCTGTACATGTCAATGATGGGAAAATTGTGCAAGGAAAAAAAAAAAGCCAAACTATTCTCTGTGAGTTTTCTATCACTACTAAGAGACCAGGAGTAAAAGATAAAGGTATCAACTGCATGTTTGGAGTTCTTTGTGATAAAATTCCTATTCCTCATCTTAGCGTGTGATTTACAAATTAAGTTCCTCAAAAGTGTTTTCTATTACTTTCTTTTAATGCTTCTAGTAAGTAAGGAGAAAAGTGCATGTTCTCAGCTATAGCGAGCCCTGAACCCTGCCTTAGTAGACTTACATGGAGCTGCTGGGTTCTGCTGAAGTGTAGGAGCAGCCCACTGCAGAAAGGGCATGAGGCGGCTGGTACTTAGAGCCAGGAGCAGGCAGACCCTCCAAAAAGCCTTAAAGTGGTGGCTCTCTGAGGACCTTCTGGGCACTACCTCCCCATATATAATCCTGATAATTAACTCTGCTTTTCTAGTCTACCTGTTTGGAGGTCTGGTAGCACAGTGCCTAAGGTAGCTCACTGCTAACAAGAAGGCTGGTGGTTCAAACTAAACAGCCACTCTATGGAAGCAAGACTGGGCAACCTACTTCCATAAAGATTTTCTGCCTCAGAAACCCAATGGTGGTCACTATGAATCAGAATCGACTCATGGGCAGTGAGTTTGTTTTTGTTTTTGTCCCGTTTGGGTGTGGTTGGCCAGGGCAGTGACAGCTGCTTAGCTTTGCTATTGTTTCATTCATATGCACCTTCATTATCTGTGTGGGCTCCCCAGCCAGGCCACCAGGAAAGAGGGCCAGGGCTTGGCCAGACTGTGGCCCTGGCTCTGTCAGAACAATATGTCTTTCTGGAATGCTGCCTTTTGGACACAGCAGCGGGTCAAGGGTAAATCATCCTAGAAAGTGTGGTATAACCAGAGCTCAGCATTTCACAGATGACGGTGATGTCCCCTCAAACTCACCCCAGGAAGGACCATGCTGCTTAGAGGTGGAGAGGCTTTGAG